TTTTTTTCCTTCTGGTCTGAAGTAAAATATGATTGAAGTAAAATTGTTCTTTTAATTTGTTCTAGGGGTTCATTATCTGCTTTAAGGCAAACTAGAAAAAACAGGTTTGAAACAGAAAGCATGATTTTCACTTCGTCCAATATAAAAATGCACTTCAAATAAACGACACAGCAGTTTCACTTTTTTCAGTGTACACATGACTGGCAAAAAAGCCATTTTTACAGAGATACTGAGGGAAGCATGTCCAACTACGGGGTCCAATATCTGTATCTTGATTGGTGTGAGCCCAAGTACTGCTGACTTCCCTAGGCCTATCCCTGACTCCAGCTGGTCAGTGGCATGACCATGTCCTCATCTGATTGGTTGCCTTTTGTTTTTTTTCACCATGGCATACTTTTTTCATTTGGCCTCCATGAGAACATGACGGAATCAAATAGTTCATGTAAACCACAGTTCAACCACACATCTACCACATAACAACTTAGAGAAGCACTGTTTCACTCATTTTAAAATGAGATATGTGGAAGATTAAAGAAAGCAGCAAAACATAAGAAAAATAACCTAAGCCGTTTTTTATTAAGATCAGTCTGGAAAAAAATCGCAGGGGAAGCCTGTCTACCCTTGGCCTTCAGAGGTACCACTGAATTTAACAAGAGATTTACAGTCAATGAATTGGTGTTGCACAGAACCAGAGGTGTGGACTCGAGTCACATGACTTGGACTCGAGTCAGACTCAAGTCACAGATTTGATGACTTTGGACAAAGTCATGAAAGACTTGCAACTCGACTTGGACTTTAACACCAAAGACTCGTGACTTCACTTGGACTTCAGCCTAATGATTTGAAAATACTCAAGGTTTAATGTGTTATTTTAAGGTTCTATGACTTCCGTGATGCGGAAAACAGGGACGGAATCACAGAGTTTGACAATGAAAATATAATCAACAGTAAAATGCAGAGTATTTTGGGATTTGCCTCAACATCGGTATGATTCCTAAAAATGGTTTACGTTTTTTATACCATGGTTTTATAAAATGTAAGATGAGTTTTAAGTGCATTTTGGTGTACCTGTAGCTTCTCGCTGCTGCGTTGTTTCGTCATGAGCCGGGGATCCAGCCTGAAGATTTCTGTCTTTTAATAAGGCAGTTTCTTCTTACCACTGTAACTTTTGCTGCTTTGCTAAAGTCCTCATGATGGATTAAGCCAGTCTTTGTAACATAGCAATAAGTAAGGTCTTTTACCTGCTTTTTGTAACATAACAATGAGTAAGGTCTTTTTACCTGCTCTTTTGTACCGTATTTTCCGCACTATAAGGCGCACCGGATTATAAGGCGCACCTTCAATGAATGGCCTATTTTAGAACTGTTTTCATATATAGGGCGCACCGGATTATAAAGCGCATAGAATAGAACGTGTTTACAACTGAACAAGGCTGGGAGATATTGTGAATATATAAATATAAATACGTATAAAACGTAACGTATAAAACTACAAAAACAAAAGTACATAAGACGATTTCCCCAAATAATAAATTATTTCTTTGACGTTTCTCTTAACTCTCAAAACGTAGTTTTATACGTAGTGCATTCACAATAACTCAACGTTGTTCAAACGTTAATGTGCATATTCACAATATCTCCGCTAATACCGCTAATTCAAACGTTAGTACAGGGGTGCCCAAACAGTCGATCGCGATCGACAGGTAGATCGCTGACTGATTCTCAGTCGATCGCGAGATGTTTTGTCAATATAAAATACAATTGTAAAATAGAAAAGTGATTTCAATTTCATCTCATTGCATTGTTTCCCACACACGATACCTGTGTTGGGAGCCCAAGTATACTTCCGACCTGTGTGTATTTAATTTTTCATTTATTCATGAAATTGCTGCGTGCATGAGAGAGCGCGAGAGAGCGAGCGGGGGAAGTAGAGAGAGAGAGAGAGCGCGCGCAAGAGAGAGTGCAGGCATGCGCAATGACGTGCAGGTAAAACTGGGGGGGGGGGGTAAATGTTTTACCAAAAAGTCATATATAGAAACTATGCTATGAGTATTAAGCGCATTTGATGAAGCTGTGAGCATCGCGGGGGACGAGACACACCAACAAACAGCGCAAACGCACACGCACACGCACACACACACACACACACACACACACACACACACACACACACACACACACACACACTTGCACTGGAGCGCCAGCCACCACGCGAACCTTTTTACTTTTTACTTTTAGTGCTACAGCACACAGTTGATCCGTGATCTTTACGGACCGAGGCGGGAACACACGTGACCCGGTCAAACAGTCGGTTGGACTTTACTCCGTTCACTCTCACCGTGTCTGCAGCTAATTTAACAAAAGCAAAATCATCTCACAGCAGCCTGCTGTAGTCTGTGAGCATCTCCACACAGATTAAAGTTGTTTGTTGTAAACTAAATTAAGGGGAAAACATATGTGATATAAACACAAACTTAATATTAAATTGTAGCCTACCCTAAAATAAGAGTTTTAAAAAAAGTATGTCGATATTGCATTATTTTTTACAGAACTCTCATTTATTATTTTCTGTTTGTTGTGTGAGTATTAAATGCGTTTGTAGGCTGTTGGTAAAGGCTATGGCTCACTATGTGGACTGGTAGATCTCGGCTGACTGGTAACTTTAAAAGTAGATCTTGGTTCAAAAAAGGTTGGGCACCCCTGCGTTAGTGCATAACTCAACATTGTTCAGTTACGTATAACACGTAAAGCTCACTTTTTCCCTCATTCCCCGTCCACGAATCCCTCGAATTCTTCTTCTTCAGTGTCCGAATTGAACAGTTGGGCGAGTACGGCATCCAACATGCCCGGCTCCCTCTCGTCATTATCCGAGTCAGTGTCGCTGAGCGCCGTGTACAACCAGTATGGATCAACCAATTAACCAATTGATCCATATATAAGGCGCTCCGGATTATAAGGCCCACTGTCGTTTTTTGAGAAAATTAAAGGCTTTTAAGTGCGCCTTATAGTGCGGAAAATACGGTAATATTAAAGGACAAAGAGTAAGGTCTTTTACATGCTTTTTGTAAAGTGTCTCGAGATAACACTTGTTATGATTTGATGCTATATAAATACAAGTTGATTGATTGATTGATTGATTGATATTATATTTATAATTTCTCAATTATCTGATCTAATAAAATGATCCAAATCCGTGTTCTGATCCAATTTAACATCATTAAACACAGAATTCAGAGACAAAAATGTGGATAAAAACAGAATTTAGGGAAAAATAAAACAGAGTCAGTCCCACTGATACTGTTATTTTATATTAAGAAGTACGCTTAATAAAATTAATTTAAATTAGATTAAATAGGAATCATGATTTGTGTAAATGTAATAGATTTTTACTCTTTACTCTCAACTTTAAAATTGCAGTTCATTTTGTGAAGAGAGCTAATGACTTGCTAAGTACTCGAAATTCAAAGTGAAGGACTTTTGACTCGACTTGAGACTTGCCTGTCATTACTTGGGACTTGACTCTGGACTTGAGACCAAAGATTTGAGACTTACTGTTGACTTGTAAAACAATGACTTAGTCCCACCTCTGCTCAGAACACTGTACAATATGTTATATTTACAAATTGGTTGGAAATCTTTCAGGGAATGGTTTAAAATACTGAGAAGATCTTTTAATTATGACGTCACATAATTTTTTGTTTTTTTTCTGTAAATTTAGGGGAATAAAGAATAATCTCGTAAATTAATGAGTTCAAGACCAGCCTGCGCGAAAATGATGAAAGTATAACTCTTAAAGTCTTTAAAGACTAAAGAATAAAGTGGTTATTTTAGTCTATATCAGAAGAGCAGCAGCAGCCTATTCTCAAGTGACAAACATGTAGCATCTTGTAATACTTTAGAAAAGGTTTCACCAATAAGGAAATGTGTAGTTGGTAAAAAACAATGCGTTCAAGAGAAGTTTTCACTTCAACTTGCAAGACCTTGTTTATCTGTAAAATTATGTATGAACAGGACACAAACTGTCTCTGCACATGAGACACTTTAACCAGGCAGACCGATAACAGACACAAATAGTTGTGTTGGGGCTTTACTTATACAGATATGAAACTACACACGCTTTTGGCACATCATCATCTTCACATTGTCTTTAAAATATCAGCACCCTGAAAAGATACTGCAAGAAACTGTGGCTTTTCCGAAGAAAGAACCACACCGACTTGGAGGAAGTTGTCTGCAGCTGAAAAGACTCTACTTTCATCATTTCCTACTTTCACCATTTTCGCGCAGGCTGGTCTCAAACTCATTAAATTATACGAGATTATTCTCGTAAATTTACATCTTTATTCTCGTAAAAATTAACAAATTTAATCTCGAAATAAAAAAATAAATATGTAGTGTGATCCTAATCCTCTGTATTTAATCTACTTTTGATATGTCAAAAAAATAAATCTGAAACTTTGGATTGAATTTGAGCACTGGGCCATGTTGATTACAAGATGATTACAGGGACCACAATGATCATTTTAATCCATTATTTAGCGTTATTCAAGATATTTCAGCGCTGGATTATTCTTATATCTTCAATGGTATTCAAAAAACTTTGAAACTTTCGAAATAGCCTACAAATACCTCTAACAGTAGAGTCACCTATTGATTTGCCTTATTTGAATCAGGAAAAGACAAACAACCATTGGAAGGAACAATGGTCTCAGTTTTAAAAAAAAGACATGATTAAAAAATAACACAATCAATTAGTTCATAATTTAAGAAACCAATGTTAGTGAGGCTGTTGGACACTTAAAGACACTTTAATCCCTGTGAAATAGGAGATCTCTATTGATATAATATTCTACTTTATTATTGTATTATTCTATACATTTATTCGATAGACAGATGACTTGTGTTATCGATCATGAGCGGTATCAGAGTAGTCTTTAACGCCGGGAGACAGAAATTTCATGAGCTGAGTATCGACCGCTTGATGGCAGTCTGCAGCACATCCAGGAAGGAAAACAAAACGCGAGGAGCTGTGAGTGACGTCATCTGAAAGCGACGGTGGAGTTCTCAGCTGTCGCCATGGCTGAAGCTGAGTATGTATTTGCTATTTAATAATATCTAAGTCCATCCTGTTTCTTTTTTCTTCGCAGCGGTGTTAGTATAAATCATTTCAGGGAGCACAAGTTGTACTGATCCGATGGAGACATATATTCAGATGGTTTATGATAATTAGAGGCTGATTTTTAGGTCGCCTCGGTTCACATGGTAACTACATTACCGAGCCATAGCAACAATGTAGCCTGCTTCATGTATACCAAATATGTTCAAATGTATGGCTTTGTGTATTGTTTGTCACCAGTGAATAAAAGTCGTATTGTGATAAATGTTTGGATGATATTGTCGTCCACATTTATTGAAGGAAAACAAAGTTACCATCTGAAAAGCAGGAGTAGCATGTTGCTAAGGCTAATCCTGTCTCTCTGGGCTGTTTTGGTTAATATTTACAGTCTGTGGTTATGACTGTATTTTCTTACATGTTTGCTGCGGGCTGGATGCTGTAAAGGTAAAACTTCAGACGTATGTGGCAGACAGTGGGTTGGTACTTGTTGCTGAGTTTGTGTCTGCTCTTGTTTCCAGATCAAAGAAAGTGATCAAGTTGGTCCCTGAGTATCTTCTGAAAAAGAGGAAAGCATACCAGGCGATCAAAGCCACGCAAGCCAAGCTCGCACTACTTGAAAAGAGAAAGGTAAGTCATGGTTTCATTTGCTCTGGGCTTCAAGTCAAATGCTGAGATAAATGTTGAGAGCAAGAATCCCCGGATACTTTTCTAGTGACCACTCGTGATCTTAGACTTAGACTTTCTTTATTGTCATTCAAACTTGTACTTTACAGTGCAGATAAGAACGAAATTTCGTTGCATTTGGCCCGTTGTAGTGCAGGATAAAAACAGCAGCATGTATTTACATATAAAAAATAAAAATAAGGTGCAGATATAAATAGATATAAAAAGAAAAACTATGAGTAAAAATAATGTAAACTTTACCAATCCTGTGAGGGGAAATTCTATTTTACACTTGAACATGCTACAAACACACCGGCTGAAACACACACACACACATGCACAAACAGGTTCCCAACCCAAGTATTTACAGACAGCTACTGCTGCCTAAATACATCTTACTTTATAAGATATATACAACTATATCCAATTAAAAGATCCTACCAATTTCATTATAAAGCCAATGTGCATCCTCCAGTGTTAAACAATGAAGTCTATGCTACGTGTTCTGTGTCATGCATGTGGTTTGGACCTCACTGCACTGTATGATTGTAATAAATTATGAACGGCATGTGTCAAGTCGGCACAGTCTCCGCAGATTCCCTCATCCTTGGCCTGGATCGTTTTGGAGAAAAAAAGCTGCATTTCTTATTTAACTGGGCAAGAATCTCCCACTCTAATGCATAAACTATGTAAAAAGATTTACAAGACATTTTAAAGAATGGTTAAATTAGACATTCTTTATCATTCTTCCCTTTAATACAGAGATAAGGCCGCCCTTTACTTGAATCATACTGTGAATCTAATTTTTTTGACCTGTGTCCCAGGCTACTTATAAGACTGGCCTGGTTGACTTGTTGGTCATGCAGTGCACATTATAAACAGGATATTACATTGGTGTAGAGGTCTTAAGGTTAAAGACAGGGTACTACCACACAATTGAACACACTGCTGTACACTTCAATGTCATTTGTTATTTTTACAGATCTCCAAAGGAAAACCATTAAAGTTCAAGCGTTTGGAAGATTTCTTGAAAGACAGTCACAAGCACCATCGGGATGAAACTCGAATCAAGAGAGCGGAGCACAGGCCACGGGCCCCCCTTCCTCCTGCTAAGAACAGGCTTGCCTTTGCCATCCGCATCAGAGAGTGAGTACTTCCCAAACAAAGGCTCGCCAGCTCTTTCCGACACCCACATTTTGATGAAAGATAATGTTACTTAAGCATAATGTGTTATTTAGAGCATGAAATACAAACACTGGTCCATGTCAGAACTAAGCCCTCGACTTGTTCCTTCTGTAGACTTCAGGTCGCATTTAGGATGAATGTTTAATATAACTCGCACCATATCAGCTATACCAAGTTTTTATTAGTTTTGAATGCCTCAGCTTGATCAGTGAAACTGGTTGTTTGAATATTTGATGTATATCATATTCATAAGTAAGCGTTTGCACTAGGGGTGGGAATCACCAGAGGCCCCATGATACGACATCACAATACCTGAGTCACGATACGATATTATTGGGATTTTAAACATTTTGCGATAAGCTGAGAATTGTGATACAATATATTGCGAGTAAGCTTTTTAACTGCATATTATGTCCATAAAATTAAATGAATCAAGAACTGTTTTGTCAAATAAGAAAACACTCTCAGTCTCTTCAGTCTTTTTATTTCTCCACATTGGGAGTCGATCACTGTGATCAGAGATAAACCCTGTAAAAGGCTTCAAGCACCTCACAATCTGAACTGTTGGTATTTCAGTCTAATCCAACTTGAACTTTCATTTTTAATAACGCAACTTGTTAAGAATAAATTGTGCAACCCCTTCAGCAGATAAAAAAAAAAAAAAAAACATATTTGCTATTGATATAATAAAACATTAGATACTTGCCTGCCATGAGAATATTGGGATACTATTTGATTTTTTCCACCCGCCTCTCCTTTGCACTATAAGTAATTTAATCTGATCCCCTTGCTCCCTTTCTTTCTCTGTTTCTTTGATCCACCCCACTAGGACTGTCAAAGAATAATCAAAATTTGAATATATGATCAAATTTAAAAATTAAAAGAATATCCTAATGTGGAAATTGATATTCGGGGAAAAATATATCACTTGGACAAATGCAATCCTATCCTCATATGCATAAAAATAGAAATTTGACAGCACTTCACCCCACACACACACATACGCCTGCACCTCTTCTTATCTAATACACACAGCGGGTTATCCCGCCTCTTTCCTCATATCTTGGCCTGCATGCATCTGCTCTTTTGACAGTCTTCATCATCGAAATCTTAAAGACCATCTTGTTGTTTGAGAGTCTAAAACTGGACGTGTTCACTCTCACTGACCTCAGTTTCAAGATGTGATGGTATAAGAGACAATAACATCAGATCATCGACATAAATCCCTCCAACAACAAAAAGTATCAAAAGGAAGAATGGAGGAAATAAACTAAGCACCATAACATGTTTGTGGTTTATGTGCTTCATACTGATGATAAGGACTGAAATACAGGTTTATAAGTCCTTCCTTTTTTCTTCTTTTCTGCCTAGGATTAAAGGCGTCAGTCCCAAAGTGATGAAAATGGTCCAGATGTTGAGGCTGAGGAAGATCTTCAGCGGGGCCTTCGTCAAAATTAACAAGACCTCTGTAGCCATGATGAAGATACTGGAGCCGTATGTGGCCTGGGGGTGAGAGACTGCTGACGCAATTCTTTAAAAACTGAATTTATTATTGTGTAAAATTAACTCATGGCAATGTTACCAACAGTTTTCCCAACTTGAAGTCAGTTCGTGAGCTCATTCTGAAGAGAGGACAGACCAGAGTAGGCAGGAGGAGAGTTCCTCTCACAGACAACACGTTCATCGAGCAGCACATGGGTAAGTCTCAGTTTGACCGCCACACAAAACAACAAATGTCTTTCATGTGCTTTTTTTTAATGCAAGATACTTTTTTTTTTTTTTTAATTTGTGAGCTATGGGACACTCCTGAATTTCCACCAGGGGATGAATAAAGTATCTATCTATCTATCTATCTATCTATCTATCTAGTAAATATGCCTAAATGTATGAAGTTATTGTTAGAAGGGTAGAAAACAGACATGTCATCTTAATGTTGAAAGTAGTTGATAGTTGAATAGACAGTTGTAATTTTGTAATAGACTGACTCTTTCTAATAATCCAGGTTTGATTTTCTTTTGTCAACAATGTTTAATTTAAAGTTAAGTAGGGCTGCTGATTAATCACAATTTATCGTTCTGTTGATATGAGCCTTCGCATTAGACAAATCGAGGCATACTCAAAATACAAACTGCATACTGACCCGACCGTGAGTATGCAGTTTGCAACATGCTACAGTACGGTTCACGTGATGTTCTTCCGGTTGGAGCTTCGTTCCATGAACTAGCATAAAGCTAGCAGTCCGTAAATATAATTCAATATGCAAACGTTCATTACTAATACAGCTATGTAGTCATTTTTATATTTTTTGGCAACATGTGGGAATAGATTTCAACTCAGATTTTCTTTTTTTAATCCGCTAGTTGGCTGGTGGGCGAGCTCTGCAGTTGGACAGTGTGAGAGCTGCAGTGCATTGTGGGGCAGTTTAGTTTGAGCAGCATGCTCCATGTTTCATACTTTAAAATAAACATCTGGGTATTTCTCACATACACAAAATTGAATACTATGATTTAGGATCATACTACAATGTGACGTCACATCTAGTATGAACGTCTGCTCTTTCAAACAGCCTGAATTTATCACAATTTAAAAAAAAAACACCTTTAATGTAGTCGGGTGACGCTCTCTCTCACTTAGCATATGAACATTTTATCAGTTCATGCTTTCAGACCATTTTGATGCAGTCAGATGAAGCTGAAGCTAACAGCTACAGCTACTCTGGGGTTAATTTATGCCAATTTAGTGGCGAAGAAACCCAGTTTTTTTTTTTTTTTGAACGGACATGTTGTAAACGCAGGTGTTCTTTAGAACAAGAGGAAGAGTAGATGGACATACATACTGAAATACAGCTACAGCTTAGTTCTGTTTTTATCTCTACTTTTATCGCAATATTGAATAAAATCTGACACCGCATGATTTTCTCATATCGTGCAGGCCTAATCAATCAATCAATTAATCTTTTTTGTATAGCGTCTTTAGTCACCAATGATCCCGACGAGCCTAAGAGAGCTCAGGAGCTCCCAGGAAAATATGTTGTAATGTGAAGTAGCTCAATCTTTAAGGACCTGGGTTGGTAATTGGAGGGGTGCATGTTCAAGTCCTGGTACGGACCATGTAAGTAAACTGGGACTGGTAGTTTGAGATGTGCCAGTTCACTTCTTGAGTATCACCAAGGGGCCTTGAGCAAGGCACCGAAATGCCCACTGCCCTCAGCAGCCCCCTCACTCTAATGTCTCTCATGCATGTTTATGTGTCCTGTTGGTGTTTTCAGGCCTGTGTGTGTGCTGCGTCACAATAACAGAATGAAAAGTGTAATGTCCCTCAGACTTATTAAAGTTTGTAGTTTCATGAATGCCCCCCCTACAAGTCACTTAAATCCTGCCTCTTGTTTTTTCCAGGTAAACAGGGCATCATCTGTTTAGAGGACCTGATTCACGAGATCTACTCTGTGGGTAAAGGCTTCCGGGTTGCCAACAACTTCCTGTTGCCCTTCAGGCTGTCTGTAGCTCGTCACGCTGCCAGGGATAAGGCTGGGCTCCTGAAGGACTTGGGAAATCCGGGCTTTCGTGGTGCTGACATTAACTCAATCATCCGACAACTGAACTGAGAGGAAACAGATCCAAGATGGACATTAAGCAGCAACCTCAGGCTGCTTTCTTTGGATGAGCAAATGGCAACATTGGAGCACGTGTTTTTTCTGTCACTCGTGTTTGAGTTTTATGTCATTGAACGCCCCTGAACATGGACTGATTTGTGGTAGACGGTGAAAATTTAACAATACTTCACTATCACGAATTACTATTGAAATGTAAAATATTGCCCTTCAATGAGTCCTTAGTTACCGTGTGTAATAATTCTCCAGGATTAATCAATACTTCTTATATTTGCAAAGAAGGTGATTTAAAGGGATTTATTGGCTGCAGGAGCCCTCAGACCACCAACGGCAAAATGAATCACTGCTTTCAGTAGCTTACATTGAGTGTCCAGTGTGCAGAATCTGTTCCTACACGGTTTCACTCATTGATTCACTGTCAATATACCTTTTTCAATTAAACAAAACCCAACACAAAGACTTCTGCATTTCTAACATTTTTACGAAAGATGAGAGAACTATTTTTTTCCTGCTCCAATGTTTGGTAACTTTAAATAAAATGTGTGAGAGTTATTTCTGTATAGATGCAAGGCTTAGACCACTTAGGCGCTGGTGGTGCAGTATGCTCCCCACCTGCATGTCATACCCCACTCTCTCTCTCTCCCAGACTTCTGAGACTATCCACTGTCCTATCTCTCCAACAAAGGCACAAATGCCCAAAACTAAACCTTGGTCGTGTGTCAAACGTCAAGCTTATTACTGATCATCTCAGAAGATCCTGTTGATTTGAGATGAGCTCATGTGAAGTATATTGTTGTGTTTCTTTCTTATGTACTGATTTTAAATATTTTTATTGCAGAAAACTGCCTGGGTTTATTAACAAATGGTGGCATTACGTAATTTGTCCGGCAGGGGGCAGCTCTGACTACATTGTTTACAATTCTTATGGTACTTATTGCGGCCTGTGCACCAGAGCATCAAGTTTAAGAGACAGTGTTTTACTGTCTATAATGGTGTGTAATGTGTATCCTCTACTACAGGGTTTCCCAGACTTCTCGGCACGTGACCCCAAAAATAATGGTGCTAGAAACTGGAAAGGGTTCAAACATAGAGTTGTGCAGTCTGGCACACACCCTAATAGGCGTATCTAAACACTGGCATAAGTAATTTATTGTAAGGAACGCTAAAAGCAGAACAAAGGTAATCTCCATGTACAGACTTCAGCACAGTGTGTGTGTCTGTATGGGTTTAATTTGTAAAGCTCAACAGACATCTACGTCATTGATGTGCAAACTTACATTTTAAGGAATAATTACACATTACTTTCATTTGAGCATTAATCTCACTGTTCACGGTGAGATTACGGTTTTAATTTGAAGTGAAATATTTTTTCTCTATTTGTTCACAATGATGGGTAAAATATATGAAAATGTATTTGATTTTTTTAAAAGCATCTTGCGACCCAAGGAGTCCCGGACCCCCACGTTGGGAAACATTGCTCTACTAGATACGAAAATGCAGCCATCGCATATGTTGGACTTCTGGATGGCAGGCATAGTGAGTGGAAAAAGGATCAACGACCAGGTTGCAGATTTCTCAGTTGAAGACAAAAACACAAAAATCACTTGAAGTCAAAATGTCTTTCTGTAGCAAACGTCCTCTGCAGACAAAATCAGGTGACACACATCAACCAGTCTGCTGATCTCACACACATTAAATACACCTGTTATGTGACCTCTTGGGCCAATCAGAGAGGCGCTCTGTAATCAGTGCCGGATTGAAAGGTCATTTCCCTTCCAGGGTAAAGCTTTCTTATAGTGCCTGCTATATTGGAATCAGCAGTTTAACTAGTTTTTCATTTTAGGTCACAATAAAGGAGCCAAGGGGGCAAAGGACCCTAATTAGTTTTATTAGTAATAAAATCAGTCCGTGCGGCCTCTTACTCCCCGCTGTGGTCGTGTTAGACCGCTGTCACTTCAAATTCAATGAGACACATGAGTCACCAGCCGGAGGAGGGCAGAGAGATGTGGCAACCAATGCAGCTGCGCTTACACTAATGCGCACTGGGAGAAATGGAGGCTGGAGCTGGGAACGCGTATGAATGTCACTGATGTATTCCCCGAGGTCGGAGAGGAGGTGTGTGTTAAGACAGATGAAAGCGATGGAGGTTAAAATCCTGTGAAAAACGTCCTTGGTGTCGACGTTGAAACAAGCAGGTAAGAAACAGACCACCGTGTGTGTGTGTGTGTGTGTGTGTGTGTGTGTGTGTGTGTGTGTGTGTGTGTGATCGAGGCTTACCATCATCAAACCTCTTCTGATCAATCAGTAGCCATTGCCATGGTGACTAATTACTGTACCGTGGTGACTATTTTTACCGTGGCAGTGGTTAAAAGCATGCGTCATGATGAATGTTGGACCTTGTCTCACGATGATCCTAATCATTAAGCACAGAACATTGGCATTGCTGAAATTACAATTATAAAAATCGGATAAAATAAAGTTAAACGTCACCTTCAATGTCGCATAGATTAAACTCCGGGTTATTTTGTTCCGAATGGAAAAACTTGTAGTATACACAAATCAATTTAGTAATTAAATATATATATATATATATCTCTCTGAACACTTTACACGTGTTCTGATGCGTTCACTAAAGTCAGAAAGGTCGATATTCGATGAGTTTGGACAGAGTCACGTATGAGGTTGAACGCATAGATTGTAAATATTAAAGATTGAATGCATAATGAGCGTTGAATCAGTGGCAAATAGTGGCAAAATATAAGATGTCATTGACAAAAACAAATGTTTAGCGACGTGCGTCTCATATATAAGTCCTCTGTTTATCATCTCGCATAATGATTAGGTCACGATCCATACTCCACTCGTATTGTAGAAAAAAATGTTTTAAACTAGAGGATCTAGATCTAAATCTGCATGTGAGGAAACGTGTGTGAGAAGGCCTACATGAGCATGTTCCCTTGATTGGGAAGGTGATTGTGTATTTTACGTAAAGTCTTTGAAGGCACCACACCAGTCGAGTGTCAAGGAGAGTGGGCGGTCTGTCAACGCCTGACCCCACGAACAGATGCTAGTGAGGTGATGTTTCGGGTTTTCAGTGTTTTGGCTGCGAGAAGAGGTCAGAGGTGAGCACCTTTAGCTGAATATGTGTCACATGTGAAGTATGAAGTGCTGTTGTTGTTGTCGTTTGTGAATGCCTGGTGTTAGATTCACGTTGGTGCATGCGGTATGGCTGAATGAAGTTTGAATGATTGGGCAACAGAACCATGTGGCGTAAGGTGTCATATAAAACAGGTTATTGTTCCAAATCTTTACGTGTCTTTGTAGTTCGTGATTGAAAATAACTATAGTAGCTGATTTGGTTACGGAACAGCTGTGTTATTATGTCCTGTCCTGATAGGTTCAGCCACATTAGCAGGCGTAACACCGGTGTTATGCCGAGAAATGCGTCCCGGCCGAGCAATGCATGCACCTCGTGAAAGTGTTAGAAAACGGTATAAATAGTATTTCTTGGGCAGATCTGTGATGAAAAAATGATATACAGTTTATTTTTATTCAAAGTTAGGTGTCCTTACTGTTCTGTAGACTTGGGAGAAGATGCATTTCAATACGCCTGCGTGAATATGACCAGCAAACAGTGTTTGACTCTGAAGTGGCTGTAGAATAAATTAAAGGGTGGATGCAGAATACGGAAGCATAGTATTTAGGGGTGGATGCAAAATTCGGTAGTGTAGAAATTGTGTCTGTCATATTTTACACTGTTCTGCGAGGTGCGTGCATTTCTCGGCAGGGATGCATTTCTCTGCGTTACACCGATAGCCCATGGCTAACTCGACATGAGTGTCACGCCGGAGCGTGTGGTGGCAATTAGCTCAGCCGGCAGCAGGTCTGACTTTAAAACTAATGTCAGAATACAGATATGTTCCCTGAATTATATCCTGGTAATGTATCAGTGCAGATACTTGAACATGTGATTAATTATTTCAGAGGCGAAGCGTAACTTTTTAAGACACTCAAAGACCTTTAAATTATCTGCTTACATGTATGACCTAAAACCTGTCCCGTGTTTTCACCTCAATCTAACGACAACCCATGACATGCAGGCTGGTTTAATTGATGATGAAGAAGCTCTGAAATGCAGGAAGGCATGTCCCGTGGGGCTAAGTGCAAAGGTTGGCAGGTCAGTCAACTTCGTGAATGAAGAAGTAGTTGGAGAGTGAATGCCTGTTGAATATTCAACTTAAACTAACCCGGCTCCTGGTTTGAAAAAAAAAAAAACCTCTGAAAATGATTGTGCAATTAGGAGTAAGGGCTATTTAACTAGACTGCCTGGTAAGTAGCCTATATGGACAAGTATATGGTCAAGATTGTGTTTTTAATATTATTCAATTGATCGACTTAATTCTACTCTTCCCAAAACACAGAGCGCTGACACATCTGGGGTAAAATGCATGTCCTTGTAATGCACTATAGGCATGTAATAATCTTCACAAAGTGCTAACATTAAACACACTGACATCACTAAGCACATTCAAACACACCTGATGGCTTCCCAGGCGGCTTCACTTGGTGGTCGTGTCACTTTAGCTGAAAGTCCTTAGGCTGGCTTAGCGGCTATGGAGATTGCTATCCGGCACTACTCTCAGGCTACTTTATACAGTGATTGTGCTTATTAAGCTGTTAGCACTAGCATTAACCTTACCGCCTCTCTGACGGCCAACACTCAGAGCAGGTGACCACGTCTCAGAAGGGTGTTTTTTTCTAGCGGGGAACACTGATGGACTTGCACCTGTGCCTGAGCATGGCACCCATGTTCCATGTCGTGTCTCCTTATGATTCAGTTTGCAATTTGCCCGAGCGAATCAGAAGGGGCGCAATGTTCTTAAGACCTGATAAGTCCTTTGACCCAAGGTCATAGCTACGTCTTTTAAGTGAGGATGATTTGGCTAAGGTTGTGTTCCTCCCCTCACGTCATAACGATGAACTGCACAGAGAGAGTCCAACCAGCTGTCTATAGCCCGTTAGAGGGCTACACACACACTCAAAGAACTAGAGTAAAATTCAGTAACTATTTTTTTTAATGTTTGACTTTTTACACAAATTGGGAAAAAGTCAAACATTTAAAAAAAAAAAAATAGTAGTTACTACTCTGTACTCTTGTGTATATAAAAAAAAAAAAAATGTCAAAGGTGTCTTATGAAGTTTTGTTACAATTCTCTTGAAGTTATTCTCTCCATTGTCTCATAGAGTGTGTGGTGTTTGTAGTTATTTCCCCCGGTAGGCCAGGGTCCAGCTCCAGGGTTTAATGATTACTCAGATTATTGGCCTTTTTGGTTGCCGTGATACGAGCAGCGCTGAGGCCCATGGGAATACACATTCCAATACACATACTGATTCCTACCCATAAGGGTGGATAAAGGGGAAAGCTTTCTGGGTCCCCCAGTGACATGGGGAGGCCCATAGAGGTTAGCGAAAACATGGTCCGTCCTAATTTTTAGCAATGACCACAATTTATTTAACGCCTAAATACTCACCACTATCTCTTAATGGATCACATGGTGTGCAAACTACCCTTCACCATGTTTTTATAACACTTAATGTGTTCCTAGTCTGTCTAGAAACTCTGCTAATTATGAGAAAAGTCCATCCTATCCGTCGTCTTCCTGCTCCACTTTTCAGAAAATGTGTACATTTTAATATTGCGTTTGTTTAATATGTTTTTTCCCTCTACGTTATTGTAGCAGGCTGTGAGATGCCGTTGTTTGCTCAGTTAGCTGCAGACACGGAGAGAGTGAACGTTTGACCGGATCACATGTGTTCCCGACTCGGTCCATACCTAATAAGTCTATGGTCCGTACGGATCACAGATCAACTTTGTGCTGTTCTGAATACAAAAAATGAATCCGTGGCGGTCCTTGTCCATCATGTGGCGGGCCGCCACGGATTAATCAATGTATGGGAAACACTGCATGTAAACACGGTTTTGACAACAACACAGCCAGCGGGACTCGAGCTTCTAACTCATTGTAGACAGTCATGACTCAGAGACACATTTACACAGGATAGACTTGATTTATGCTGTTTATGTGTGAAATGTTGTGCTTTAAAACCTGACACGAGATTAATCTGTCACACTTATAGACTGATTTCTGTATCTTCTTGTCAAGGACATGAAGACGCTTTCTGGTACTATGTCTTTGATTTGCCTCTCATATTATTCTGTTGGGTACTCATACACCACAATTACAAAGAAAGGCATAATTTAAGATGTCTGATTAGGAGAAATAAAATGTGCAGTTTACTATAAAGGAGCTTGATAGGGTTTTACAAAGCATTGGCTCTATCCAGCAGTCTGTCCTGTGCAGGTTAGGGTTAGTTACATGCTGTCTCAGTATTGAACAGCCACTTTTATCTTTCCTGTCGTCTACACATTAAGTTAGTGATGTTGGGTTATGTTATGCTAGCTTGTGATTGATTAGCAAATGTGAGCTTTTCTTTTTTTCTACACATAATTGTGTGTTTTATGTTGAAACAGGAAAACATGGAATCCTGGAAACATGTCAGACTACATTTTTTTTTTTATATATATATATATATATATATAAAGCATCTGGCTGTCTGCTGGGATTGACTCTTTAGCGGACAGCAGCCCAGCAGGAGAGATGCTCAGTGGTGTGCTGGGATTTTATCATTGAAAACAGGACAGACACTTGCCAAGTCTGGCTCAGTGGTCGATGAATGTAAGCCATCGCTCAACCCCTGTGTGGAATCAACCTTGACTAACTGGTGCGGAAGCAAAGTGCTTGCTTTGAGCTTTTTATTTCATTGTAAGAAACATCTTTAAGTAATGTCTACTGCAGCAGGCTATTATCTGTTCTCTCAGATTGGAGTTGCCTGTGGGGTAGGGGGTTAGGTATCCTGTTAGAAGCTTACATGAGGGTTTTTTACTGAGAGATAAATACTTAACTGAGTTTAATGTATTAATATTTGTCTATTGAAAAATTAGATGTTTGATTCATTTAATTATTGATCCTGCGCGTTTTATGGGTGTAGTTTATTTCAGCAAACATGACCAATTTCTCCCCACCAACAGACACATAGTGGTTATATGAGAATGACATTAATTTTTTCAGGGATTTAGAAGACCAAAAAGGTTAGTGGGCAAATCTCCATATATGTCTTAATATCTGGTGATGGTATCCAGTGTTTCCCCTAGGTTTACAGCGTTGGGGGTGGTGGGGACACACCGACACTAACTCTCTCTCTCTCTCTCTCTCTCTCTCTCTCTCTCTCTCTCTCTCTCTCTCTCTCTCTCTATCTATATATATATATATATATATATATATATATATATATATAAAAAAACCTTACAGGAACTCGCTTCAACAAATCTAATGTTTAGACGGACACAAAGATGCCAAAACTAATACAGCACACCATCTTATTGAGCCAGTCTGGATCATCATGGCCGTCACGGTTGAAATTCCTTCACCGCAACAGCCTTAGCTGCCTGCTCAAAACCTGTAACTCCTCATCCCTGCGCGACGACTCGCAAGCCAAGCCAATTCAATACAACGCAATTCACAAGTGCATAATGAACCGTTTATGCCATACAGATCGTTTCAATAATATATTGAGAAATGTTTAACCCCTCCTGGCTACTAAGCTTCAATTAATTCTGTTCAAACATCTATGTGATATGCACTTTTGTATTGAGTCAGCTGACCCTCATACTAAGTTGCTTAAGCGCTAATGGGCCATAACGATGAGGCTGGAAGTCTTTGCCAGAGTTTGATCAAAGCAGCATGAGCATCACACAGACAGGCCTGACAGTGCAGAGCTTAACGGGACATAATCCCACACATGAAACTTCTTGCAGAGTTGGTCTTTGTTATCACAGAGAGAGTTCATTCATTCTTTTTCAAACCTCTTTCCAGGAAGATAACGTGACATTTAAAAAAATCTATATACATATGTTGAATTTAGCTTTTGTTCTCCCCATCCTACACGAGTACCTCATGCTCATTTAAGATAACTTAAGGAAGGCCTGTGTCCACAGATGGCGCTTTTTTCACTGGCTGTGTCCACAACCTCCGTTCAGAGTGCTTCTCATCACCGCTCTGCTAATGTCCATTAGTTGTGTTTTGGCTCTGCCTTCCTATGATGTTTTGCCTAAGTACTTTTGTTCTCCTTTCTCTTGCCGGCCTGTCCCTTTAACGTCATTGTTAGCTCACCTCTCTGCAGTCAGCTGCCCTTTATCTCTCCTTTCACAAGTGAAGAGGGCAGAACAACACACAACACACTGTGGGACTGAAGATGGACCTTTGTGTGGCAAAAATAAGAGAATTATTTCCATGTGAGCGCAGCAAGAGCGTCTCTTTAAAATCAACGAAAATATGTCTCCTGGAGAGAAAAGTGTGAAAGGACCCAGGCGTGTCTCTCTTGTGGAAATAAAACAAGGGATTGAGTTTTGTTTGATTCACTGGAAAGAAAAGAAACAGACTGGTTTGACAAACACTGCACAGGGATTGAATCCTTTGTAACAATATTGTGTCCTCTCTTTTCTTCTCATGCTTTTACTGCTTGTGGTGACATTTTTTTCTCCCTCCGCAGTGATTGGATGTTGTAAAAGAGATACAACCTTCCTGTGAGCATTGAGCATTAAGATCAAGTAGCCCGTGTATGCCAGCAGCAGCCTGCAGCAGCCGCCTGATCTCAGCAGGTACAATCATTTACTTTCTCTCTTTCATGCTCTGTCTTTGTCAAAGTAACGACTCGATGCGTGACTCTGCTGTTTGTGTTTTTCTCTAAAAGATGATGAGTGTTGAACTTTGAGACTGAAGTTAGATTTTATGATGTAATGCAGGAAAAACCCCAAAGGCTAGCGGTGCATGTTGACCGTGTGTTGTAAACAACATCTCTTAAAAATACAGAAGCTTCTTAATGGACCGAGAGAGACCGGTGAGCCTTTTCTTATGGGGGACTATTTGTGGCAGTCCTGCCGTGATACACATTTTATCCTCACATTTATTAATTTAATTTACTTTATTTGCACTATGTAAAACATAAATGTTACAGAGCTAGTCCCTCAACATTTTAAGTCGACTCTCTCCACTCGGCCGATCTTAAATGGTAAACTACATTTTCAACCTCCTACAGTGTAAAAATCTGATAGTTTCAGAAGTTTTCACGACTTTAATTTGATTTTAGAGGTTATAGCTGTTGTTCATTTCCAACTCTTGTCCCTCGTTGGGCCTTTGGGTAAACAAACAGAGTAACCCACATAACACTACAGGAGGCTACATTAACATAACATATACAACACTGTGACGACACAAAATCCTAAAAAGATGTAAATGTGGGTACAGCTCTGGTTTGCTCTCAGCCATTATTTCACCTTTTTAATAAAAGATTTCAAGTCTGACATTAATTAAATTTTTCAGCTGGTGATGAGTTCCAGAGTTTACAGCCTTTGATAGAGAAAGCTGATTGTAACATACAACAATGTAGATCCACATTTGGACAATTCCCTTTCACCGTGCTTCTTGTTACCCTGTTTCTGTCCTGTCTTTGAAGTTGAACATATCTGGAGAGAGGTTCAGGGGCCAGATTGTTATGACTTTAAGAGACTCTCTCTTTTCCTCTCATTGTATGAGCCTTTTACGAGCAGCCTATCTATGACACGCTCTCCTTCTAGATAAACTTTATTGTCTCTTCTAAAGGTGACAGAAATTCTCCTTTGACAAGACTCAAAAAATAAAAGAGTAACTTTTAAAACACAAAGTACAGACATTAAAAGAAGACGGTTAAAATCAACAGCTGATAGAAAAGTGTCTGTTTTGTTCTGTTCAGGGTGAATATGAAGGCTCTTTGTGGAGGTCAGAGGGACTTTGTAGTGTCTGCCTGATGGCAGTAACTGTAAGGACCGGTGGAGGGGGTGAGAAGGGTCCTCTGTGATCAGGGTGGAGGGGGTGAGAGGGGTCCTCTGTGATCAGGGTGGAGGGGTGAGAAGGGTCCTCTGTGATCAGGGTGGAGGGGGTGAGAGGGGTCCTCTGTGATCAGGGTGGAGGGGGTGAGAGGGGGCATTTGTGATCACAGAGGACACCTCTCACCCGCTCCACTGTGATCACTGAGGGGCTGACTCGAGCTACAGCACCAACTAGTGGCAGATGGCTACAGTACACAACATTTGACAGGCTTTGGTGCGCTGTCACTTCACCCTGAATCGAAGTCCACTGAATTGTGATATGGACATGCAAAAAATGTACGATCACAATTTATCTCAGTTCAAACTGGGCAATTTCACAAGATTTATTTTTGGGCTTTTTGTGCCTTTATTGGAGAAATAGGAAAGTAGATAGAGTCGGAAATCAGAGAGAGAGCGGGGAATGACATGTAGGAAAGGAGCCACAGGCTGGATTCGAACCTGGACCGCCCGCTTGGAGGGCATGGGATGCGCACACTAACCCCTGTGCCACCAGCGCCCCAAATTGCACACTTTTACAAAACTGACCCATGTAATCTTGATTTTCTTTCTTTAAGATGAGGCAGAATGATGACACTACTGTGTTTTTTATGTGACTACATTTTTATGATATCTTGTATTTTGTATGTGTGATAATGTTTGAACTTCATTTGTTTTGCTTTGCTTATTTAAATGTTTTTGACTTTGATATCAAAGAGTCCAAACCTGTCCTATGAAATGAAAACTGACCTCACAGTCCTGCCATGGCCCTCAGACTCCTCCCTTCTGTTTCCCCCTCCAGCTCTCCCAGTCACTCTCCCTATGGGTGAAGCACCTTCGTAGGCGTTCTTAGCCGTGCTTCCAGCAGCCTCCGCTCCAACAACCCCCTCACATCCAGTGTCACCATGGGGGAGGTTGTCCAGATGCACTTCACTACGGTGGACTACGTCATCTTTGCCTTGCTGTTGGTGGCCTCGGCTGGTATCGGTCTCTTCTATGCCTTCTCTGGAGGGCGCCAGCGCACAACACAGGTAGACTTTTAAGATGTTTTTTATGTCCTTGCAGACAGTATTCAAGAGCCCTATTCAGACTGCGTTTTCAATCCCCTATATTTACGCTCCAGTGAAGCTACATGTTCAGTCTGAATGCTGCAGAGGCGAAATGGGGAGAGAGTGATCCCCCTTCAACCAAGTAACAAAGGTGTTACAGAAGCGAGACAGATTCAGGTGAGCCAGCAGGGGAGCTCTGTGTATGTGTGCTCCCCCCTCCCCTGCTGGTCTGTGTTCACATTAGTAACATCGTTCTGTATCCGAGTATACTTGCGTATGTACACAGTCTGAAACAGCAGGGGGCAGTATGCACATAGTTGGTTTGCAAATCCCCCAGTAAGCAGAAAGAAGAACAAGTAAATAGCAACAATCGCGGGCTCAGTCCATTCTGCTAACTGTGGATGTTTTTGTTCTTTCTGAGACGCCAACAATGACCCTCGTCCTACGTCCACAAGGACCGTGCAGCTCAGAGGATGAAATGGACCCACTCTGCGTGTATATGACGGTTTTTGAAGCAACAGGCGTGTTTAGAATGACATCACTTCGGTTCACTTCCTTGTTTGAGCACGGTTGCGATGTGGCGCTGTACACCTTTCAACGAGTGGTTATAGAGCCAATTCCGGTTGACCTATACGTCACAGCAACAACAAACTATCTGGCGGCATTCAAACAAAGATGGCGTACGAGGAGATGGACGATGCTATTGCTACGTACATTTTGTGCATTATTTACATTCTAATAATGCATATTAGAAGAACAGCAGATCTTTTTTCTGCAGCGATAACAGCAGAAGGATGCAGTTTCCGGCAACAACACTTCTCTTTATTATATCGTTTCCTGCCACTTCCGGGTCCCTAATGTGAAACCACCCTCTAGGGGGCTCCCGCTGTATGTACAAAGACATGATGACTGCTGCACTTTGTTTCGGTGCTTTAGGGGGGAAAAACAGTATGAAAAGGGCTCCTCTTGTGTACCATTTAGTTTTCAAGGGTCAAGAATATTTCAGGTATCTTGGCATGTCGACATGTCATGTCTTTTGCTTGTTTATAGGAGTTCCTGATGGCTGATCGCTCAATGAGCTGCCTGCCTGTGTCTCTCTCTCTGCTGGCCACGTTTCAGTCCGCTGTGGCCATCCTGGGTGCTCCGTCTGAGGTCTACACCTTCGGGACCCAGTACTGGTTCCTGGGCTGCTCTTACTTCTTGGGCCTGCTCATCCCTGCTCATGTCTTCATACCGGTCTTCTACAGACTGAGATTGTCCAGTGCCTATGAGGTACACACACCATGCGCACATGTTGATCATGACTGGTCCACAATGGTTGTTTGCTCACGTGTTTTAATGTAGTGTCTCTAACGTTCCTCTTTCCTCTGTCTGCCTGTGTTTTGTTTTACACTCTGTCAACACCCTTCTCCTGCTTTCCCTAGCTTTGTCTTGCTAAAGTATGATCTCAGAGCTTGACATCCTTATCTGACCTCTTATCTGCCTATCCTTGGTGTGTTATCGCTCAGCAGGAAAAAATGTCCTTGTCCTTGACTTTTAAAATCATTAGAGTATTTAACTACAGTTTCTATCTTTAACTGTCAGATCCTACGCTGCTGAACAGTGCTGTATAAATGTCCTGTGAACTTAGAGGCACTGATAATACAGATTCATTCAATCAGTTCTTAGACTAAACTTTACTATCAGCACTGAGGACATGCATCAGAATGACTCTGAGATGATAGCTTTGTCTGACTTTTGATTTTGTTTACTCTTTTTTATTTTTTTGTTTGTTTCTTTTACATTTTCTTCCCATGACAGTATCTGGAGCTGCGCTTCAACAAGACTGTTCGCATATGTGGGACTGTGACCTTCATCGTTCAGATGGTACCTTTCTCTGCACTCACACTTTGTTTATTAGAGCGCACTCACACTCAGCAAAACTGCTCCGTACCCTGCTGAGGCACAGTTGTCCCCCCTCCCTTTTCCCCCGCTGGCCTGCTCTCACACTGCTCCAGGACTAACCGGGCCTGAGCACGGTGACCTCTGTACATAACATCGTAACACAACACATGCCTGGCTTAACGGGAACATGAAGCGTGCTTACTTTACAAGACAGACGGACTTAAAAAAAAATAAAAGGGACACATGGTCGAAGAACATGAAAGCTTCTTTCCTGACTTTGTGGCTTATTTTGAGTCATTATAGTCAGACACAGACAGAACACTTGGGGATTTCTTCATAATGAAGGCTGGCATCGCTATACTTAATGTCCACATTTTGTACCTGTGCTTGTGCTTGTGCTCGTGCATGAACTGTACAGTGCAGAAGCACGACTTTTTCAAGCGTTCCAGGGCCAGGGAAGTGTACCATGCACACTAGTCAAACAATCTGGACTTTGGGGGTCAAACCTGCTTAGGCACGGTACAGATCCCTGTGTGTGAGTGCGCCCTTAATGTCTACTGATGAAGGAAAACGAAGGAAATTGAAATGAAAAAGATCCATTCAGCCATTCTGTAATGCACCTGAACAGCTACATAGTTGAGAGAGGAATCTTTTGAAACGTAAAATGTTGAATTATTTGATTGCAACTTTGCAACCCTGAGGGAGGGTTGTTTTCTCGACTTACCTCTGCGAGGGACTTATAAGAGTTTCACTTTGTTGTTCAAGGCATCGCGTGTTGGTTGATTTGTCTTGAAAATACTTCTGTCTGTGTTGAGTGTCATAATCTTTAATAATAATAATAATACAATGTCACAACAAGCAAGATAGTATTCAGTAACTCTGTAAAGAGGGGGGGAGGGGGGCAGCTTTGTAAAAGGCTGTCGGTGTTTAACAGCAGTTCATAAGTTAGAAATAAGAGACCTTGAATGCATTTATTGACCAATTTAAAGTGCAGCTTGACTGAAACTTTGGCCTTGTGAGGGTTAATCCGACCCTTGTAAAATGTGCATCATGGTTTGTAGCATTTGCTCTGTAATGTTACAACTGTACACGAGTCAATGTTCATCCTCATGCTGAATTATATGTGCATGAACATTGATGACGGCTGAACCTTTGAAGGGTCATACAATGTTTTGCAGATAAGCCCGATTGAAATCTGACACGTGTGAGTCGTATCGCTCCAAAAACTTGACCTCTGAGCTCATCTCTTCTTTTTGTGAGTCTTTCTGATGTGCAGTTTGTTTTTCCTCTTCCTCTACAGGTCATTTATATGGGTGTAGTCCTGTATGCTCCAGCCCTGGCACTCAATGCTGGTAAAGTATTGCTTTCTTGTACCACCATGATTAGCATGAGTTACTGATCACACCAGAAAGTGAACATTATGCGGTTGTCCACGTAGCTCGTTAAGTAAACTAATGCTCTGCCTCTTTTCATTTGCAGTTACAGGTTTTGATCTCTGGGGGGCAGTGCTGGCCATGGGATTAGTGTGCACTCTCTACACTGCTCTGGTGAGTGTATAAAAATTAAAAACTAAGAATGTGAAAGATTCTGAAACTCTAGAGTACTCGGAGTGTTTATAACTGGAAAACAATTAGTGACAGCATTCCTCACACCTTTGGTGCACATCAGTCTGTTGTTGCAGCAGCTGTATGAACTGTATGAGGAGACACATCAGGCAACAACACAAATAAGAGTTGTCATGTGTTTAAAATCCCGTCCACACACGCTCAGTTCTCAAAAACATCATGAAGGTGAAAAAAAAACATGTGAAAATGTTCTCACCATTCTCTGCAATGACCATTTCATTGTCAAAGCTGTCCAACCAGGTCTCGTCTAAAATCTAAAAGTTTGTTTCCTCTGAGCGTTGTTTGAAGCAGCAGTGACCTCCGTAGTCCTTTCAGGCGTTTCTGCTCGTCAACGATGTGGGAGAGTAACTGTGTATGTTTGATAATGTAACAAGTCCGGTTAGCAATGTTAGCACCAGCGCTAGTTTGGTTACGTCTGACATCGCACTGATCTCATGCACTTTACAAACCCAAAACTCTGCTTTACCCGTCTACACAAACACTTTAAACAGAGTTTGTGAAACTGTTTGTTTGTTTTACTGAAGGAGTGTTTTCAGTGACCTAAAACGCAGTTTGTGTCGAAAGGTCAAAACATAGAGAAAAACCTCAGTTTTTAAAAATACCCGCCTACATGTGGGCGAGGCCTTAGACACTGCGTTTCACCTCCTGGGCCTGATGGTTTCAATTGAAGACGTACAGTGATTAGGGATGCATCATTTGAATTCAAATGAGATAAAATTCAGTTTATGCAGGTCATCTGGGGGTCAGAAAGGTTCAATATGAAGTCAGCAAAGGTGTCTATCTAAAGGCATACATTAATATTCTATCTAAGCTATTATCACCAGTAGTAAAAAGTATATTTTTTACTCTCTGCAGATAACCAATGAGGATCAACATATATTATAAGCATGTAGTTGACAAGCCCCTGTGCTAGTTTTTGCCTAATCCACACATTGAATGTTATAGATGGATTTCATTTAAAAATGTTATCTGCATTTTTGAGAATTTATGGGACATTAAAGATCAGAAATGTCTGTCATTATAATCCATCTCTACCGTCTGTATGTAGGTATATTCATTTCTACATGTTTGCCTTTCACACACTGATAATAATATTTCCCTCTACCGAAAATGTATCAGGCATTGATCAGTTACTGTATCCAAGACTTCTGTAACCAGCTGTTTGTCTTTGTTTGTATTTACCATATTTTTATTTTCTCTTTGTCAGGGGGGTCTGAAGGCGGTGATCTGGACCGATGTATTCCAGACGGTGGTGATGTTTGCAGGCCAGCTGGCTGTAATTGTGGTTGGGGCCAGTCAGGCGGGGGGCATAACAGAGGTGTGGAGGAAAGCAATGAACGGCAGTCGCATTGCTGGACTGGAGTGAGTAGTCTGCATGACGTGTGGTCGATTCAGTGATTTTAATGGATTCCACGTTGCTTTTTTGGATTGAGCTTTTAGGGAGTCATATTGTCTTCATACACCTTTGTAGCCTGAACCCCGACCCCCTGGAGCGTCACACCTTTTGGACCCTCGGTGTGGGAGGAGTCTTCCTGATGCTGGCTCTGTACGGGGTCAACCAGGCCCAGGTCCAGAGATACCTCAGTGCTCGCACAGAGAAAGAGGCCATCATGTGAGTACCATGCTTAGCTAACCTTTGCTGTTTTATGATGCCGTGTCTCAGAAACTCTTGTTTTGATCAGAACTATTTATCCTGCAGCCGTGATCTTAAACATATGCTGACTTTAAACAGGCTGTTGAGTTTTTAGGATTGGTAAAAAAATATTTTTTTATTTTTTTATTTTTTAACTTATGGTCATAAACATTGACCATACAATATCTCTCCCCACAGCAAAATGGGAAAAAGATTTATCAACAACAATAGACCATGACACCTGGAACATAATCTGCAACAATACCTTCTCAATGACGAATAAACCTAACCCCCAACTAATTCAGTACAAGATTAACCACAGAACCCATGTCACACTTAAGAAAAAAACATCAAATGGGACTTTCACCTCTGATACAAATAACTGCTCAGTATGCCCCCCTAACACCCTGGATGACTACATGCATGCAATCTGGCACTGCCCACCCATACAGCAATTCTGGAAACAAATCACAACTAAACTCTCTTCAATACTGAACTGCCGGTTTCCACTCTCCCCTTCACTATGCAAACACTCTTTCAATCACACTTCCCAACAACCAAAAAACCACAATACTCATTGGGCTCACTGTTGCCAAGAAAGCAATCCTCTTCAACTGGAAAAGCAGAAAAAAATTTATGGATGCACACACACACACACACACACTTACACACACATAAATACACAAAGACACAGACACACATCCTTTTTTATTTTTTTTATTTTTCCTTTCTGTATAACTATCACAACTTATTTGTGAATTTATTTTCCTCTTACCATCAAATTTAATCTTTTTTTATTATTATTATTGTCCTTAGCCACCACTTTATTATGACCTATTTATTGATGTATTTCCTCTCTCCCCCCTTATATTCATATCATATTCATCATCATGAATTCTCATCACAGCCACTCTCATTTTTCATGCATTTCTTTTTATTTTATTTATTTATTTTTTCTTTCTCCATCCAGATGATTGTCTGTTTTTCTTGAGTTGCCTTGTTTTATTCATTATTTGTATTTTCTGTTTCTCTTATTACTACTGCTATCACCCCGTAATATTATTATCATAATTACTACTGTTCACTCCTGTAACAATTGTTTCAAATATTGATATTATCTCTATTATTTATCATTATTTATTATTATTTTCTTTCTTTTTTTTCTCTCTCTTGCTTTATTTTATATATATATATATATATATATATATATATATATTTTTTTTTTTTTTTTTTTTTGTACTATCATTATTATTATAATTTTTCTCATTTTCTGCTATTAGTGGTATGCTGAGGAGAGGTGAAGAAGGCAAGATAATGAGAATTAAAATTATACACTAGCAAATCATAGTCAAACAATCCGGACAAATTACATTATTATTACTACAACATGATCTGCACTATTTATATTACTGTCATCAACACATAACCCAACAACACACTACACTGGAACACAATTGATATGGTCCATTACCCACTTTTTTTTTGTTCTTTTTTATTTTATCATTCCTCAGTTATTCTAGTTTTCTTCTTTCCCTTTGTTTTGAATATGCTTTTTAGCCCCTCCTGGTGCCTCCATCGTCTCAGTGATCCATCTTTAAACACTAAGGTTAAAAAAAGGATAGACTTCAGGACAACGATAATAATAACAAATACATAAAAAAAATAAAATAATAATAATTGCAATGATAAAAATACTGTGCCTTAAAGAAATTAATCAGACGATACCTCTGAGCACCAACACAAACAGATCCCCTCCCATCAGGTCTGGGGGTTGTTCAAGCTTGGCGGGAGGGTAGCAGTAGGCAACCCTATCAGCTGGCCCCCTCCGCAGGGTCTGGGGGCAACTGAGACAGGGGCACCACACAATGACTGAAGTAATAAAAATCATATATATATCTATATATCAGGGGAAAGAAGAAAAGGGAGTAAAAGAAAAATGGAATGAAGGAAAGGAGAAAAATAGGAAGAAAAAAAAATTACACACACAAGCAGGGCCCTTCAACACCCTCAACATACAAAATTGCTAAACGTTGTTATTACTCCCTGCTTGCCTGTTTTGTCTCTGTCTATGCTGTGCATTGTATCGTCGTGTCTCCCCTGTCTCCTATATACTATTGCTCTTGTCATGTCCCTCACTCATCTTGTATTGTTCTGCAAAAAATTATTGATTCCAGGTCCTGCTACGTGGTTTTCCCCTGCCAGCAGATAGTCTTGTGTATGGGCTGTCTGATGGGTCTGGTCATGTTTGCTCGCTACGGGGAGGACAGCCCTCTAGACAAGGGCTACGTCAAAACGAACGACCAGGTGAACACTAAATTACCTTTTTGTGATTTTATTTATGTGGTATTAATCCTCAATTTCTCAGGACACAGATCTAGACCACTTCTCTCTTTGTCTAAACAAAAGCTGTTATCACACAATCTGTGTTTTAAATTTACCGCTATTCACACTTTACCTTTGCGGCCTTTAATTTACCCTGTCTGAGGATATCCAAGATTTGGGGAGAAGCCGAGTTCTACTCTTTTTAAAGCAGCTAAGCCTAAACTTAAAGCCACCGAGGGGCTCCATAGACGGGCTGATTTATTAATGGATGGGCTCGGCTCCTAAGCATCTTGAGAAAAAAGACACATATCTGCGTCGTCTATGGAGGATTTATTCCTCATTCACTAATGGTCTTCAATGTTTCATATGCATCCTTACATTTCTGTACAAAGATTCACTCGGAACAGGCCACGTTTCCTCGTGTGACATAGGGTGTCGTAGTGATCAAACTAATTGTTTTTGCTCTTCCGTCTAGTAAGACCTGACACTCCAGTAAACGTTTTTATTTATTTTATTTTACTTAAAAAAAATAAACATAATAGATCAATGAAAAAACAGGCAACAATTAATGTGCTGGAGGAGCCAAATAAACCTCGTCGAGTGGCCCTCCTAAAAACTTCCAACTATAAAGTGTCTGATCTGAACCCAAAGGTGACAACTGCTGGAGCAGTTTGTGTTTTACACTTTATAACTCCTAAATATGGCTGCTACGACTATAATGATTTATTTAACGGTTATATCAATGCTACATCTCCACAGTATCAACAGGAAAGCCGAGGAAAACATATAGCTGCTGGTCACTTGATATAAACGTCATCACCCCCCTCCCACTCGTCTTGTTGAATTTCCTTGATTTGTTTGTACATGCTGCGTTCACACGTCAGCTCACCCTGACAGTACTTAACCTGGAAGTTTTCCAGGGGGCCTTCAGGAGAAAGTCTAGGTAAAGTCCGGCCGAAAAATTTGTCCGTTTACGCTCAGCTCACGCAGAAAATGTCGGGACATGTTCAGGGGTTTTGAGTCAATGTGAACACAGCAAACTTGTGGTGAAACAGTGAGTATAGAGTTATAGAGTGTTTGGTATTTTCATGTGCAGAGCTGCATCCTGATGTTTAATGTCTCCCTGCAGATGGTGCTCTACTTTGTGATGGACGTGTTCAAGGATCTGCCCGGGCTGGCAGGACTGTTCGTGGCCTGTCTCTTTAGTGGAGCTCTCAGGTAAGCTTCCCTAAAGAGCACACCTGGATGTTACTGCCACATAGTCTGTGCACGCTGCTTTCCGTCAGCGCCACGGTCGGACCAAGGGGGCAAGACACTTAACCCTGAATTGCTCCCACTGCTTCAGTGGTGGTGTATGAATGGGATTAGTTACTTCTGATGGATGATACATAGCGATCATCACTACCATCAGTGTGTGAAAGGGGATGAATGGGTGGGTGTGACCTGCGGTGTAAAAACGCTTTGAGTAGTCGGAAGACTAGAAAAGCGCTATAGAAGCTCAAGTCAATTTACCATTTACTCTTTGACAGGCAGCAGGAGATGTTAGATATACTCTGATCATTTTGAAACGTGAGGGGTTAAGTGTGCCTGTGCTGCCCAAGAGTGCGTTTTCCACCTTTAACGTGACATGAGATGGAAAGGATTTATCAACCACAGCGTCTGTGTATGTCTGTCATATCTTCTGTTTATCACAAGATGATCATTCAACCTCTTTTTACATTTTTATCTCCATCTTCTTCCAGCACCATCTCATCAGCCTTCAACTCACTTGCTACAGTAACGATGGAGGACCTGATAAAACCTCATTTTCCAAACATGACTGAAGCTAAAGCGACCCTGCTGTCAAAAGGACTCGGTATGATACATTCTCTTTAACAGAATTACGATCGAAAGTGTTTGTGTGTTATAAATGTAAGTGCTGCCGTCACTATGTTTGCAGCTCTGATTAAAATGTGTCTTCGTCATCCGTCTGGTTCACAGCTTTGGCCTACGGCCTGGTGTGTCTGGCTATGGCGTACCTCGCCTCTCTAATGGGATCTGTGTTGCAGGTAGTACATTTTAAATATTCCTCGTTGTACCTGGGGGTGATGTCATTATTTTTATCTGGAAGTTACTTATTATAAATATGTTCTCACGCACATGCTCTGTGTACTTTGTGCCATCAGGCAGCCTTCAGCATCTTTGGGATGATCGGCGGTCCTCTGCTTGGCCTCTTCTGTCTTGGGATGTTCTTCCCCTGGGCCAACCCTATAGTAATCCCCTCGTTTCTTTTCTTTATTTACATTGTGCTGACTGATATAAAGTGATGGGGAAGTCATTATCTCCATCTTCAGTTTTATCTTTTAACCTGCAGTGGCAAATAGACACGAGCCTAAGACTTGAACAAACTCATCCATTTCCTCCTCAGGGCGCAGTGGTTGGTCTAGTATCAGGTCTAGCAATGGCCTTCTGGATCGGCATTGGCAACTTTGTGATGCGTCTATCTGCTAACAGTGCAGTGCCATCACTTAATACCACTGCTCTCCCCTTGTTTGACAACATGACCACCACTGTCATGTCTACATTAGTGAATGCCACTACAGCCAAGCCAAGGTAAATCCCAAGAACACACCTTGTAGATCTTACATCTCCAGCCCTACCAGTAGAGTTAAAGTTCATCGTCTGTCTTTGCTTCAGGCCAACAGGTGTGGAGGCGCTCTACTCGTTGTCCTACATGTGGTACAGTGCTCACAACTCAGCCACTGTGGTCGTGGTGGGACTGATAGTCAGCTTCCTAACAGGTAGGTTAATGTCAACCTCCATCCCTTATCACTGAGTGGCTGTGGCTCAGATGGTAGAGTCGTCGCCTCTCAACGGGAATGTCGGGGGTAAAATCCCCAGCTCCTGCAGCTACATGTCTGATGTGCCTTTGGGCAAGACACTTAACCCCAAGTTACTCCTACTGCTTCATCGGCGGAGTATGAATGTGATTAGTTACTTCTGATGGTCTCTTTACTCAGCAGCCTCTACCACCAGTGTGTGAATGTGTAGGTGTGACCTGCAGTGTCAAAGAGCTTTGAGGAGTCAGAAGGCACTATACCAGCTCAAGCTCATTTACCATTTACCGTTCTCCTTAAATCTAGCCACATATATATTATATATATTTGCTCTAGGTGCTTTTTTCCTGACAGTCGTTTTGCATCCTTGTAGGCTATTTGTGAGTATGACATCTAGAGTGACTGCTTCAATCAGACATTTCTGTTTTTAATGCTAATTGTCCAAAGTTAGATTTGTTGCCTACCCAGAAGAAGAAGCTTAAATGCCAGTTTCCACATAGTCCGTGAGCGCTGCTGCACTTCCGCGGGCTGTAGCTTGCTGCTACTATAGTCAATGTTTCTGTCTCCAGAGCGTGCTAGCAGCACCACTACACACTGTTATAAATCTAAATAAATGCAAAAAGCTCAAAATGAATCTTTCAAAAAATCCCTCACTGTTGGCCATTTAAAACATGAATCCTTAAATATTGGCTACAACTAGGGAGGCTTGCTCGCTGTTAACATCCTTTGCTAAGATTCAGGTAGTGTCCTGTAGGGGTTTGTCTGACTTTACACAACCTGGGACTCTTTTTACAAAAGTGCCGCAGTAGCCGTCATCAGGTATAGAGGGTGGAATTACCCCATTACGCCGCCGCGACATTGAGGTTGAAGGCAAAACGTCACAGGGCCGTAAATATTGCGGCTTGAAAAGGGTTAGTCTGAATAGGGCTACAGAGTCATTGAGCAATAATCGCTTTTGTTGTAATTTTCCATTAGTGAAGTTGTAGCTCAAGAAGAGGTCTTAGTTTATTCCAGTTGTTTAATTTATTCCTGGTCTTATAACTGTTTAGCTCTCTAATTTGCTTTAAAGGCTTTATGTTATTTTTTGCTCCAGCAGATGTCGCCCTTGAGCACCAGCATGAAACCAAAACAACTTGCGCTGCATTGATGTGTTAGCATGCTAATGCTAACGATCTTTATTATGCTGGTATCTTCACACTGCATGTAAATTTACCTGAAATGAGCGTGATCTAGAAACACAGTTAAGCAGTGAGTACAGTATGTTATTCTTCTTTTCTCTAGTCTCTAGTCCCTCAATTAAAGAACTTTTATACACGAGGGGATGAGCTGGCTGGCTGTCCCCACGATGTAAACAAAGTGAAGCTACGGCTAGGAAAGCTCGGAAAACATCACAGACAGTGGGACTCAGTCATGACTCACAGAGTTATTTTCAGAGGATATACTTGATTTCTATTACATTTAAGTGTGAAAAATCACATATTAAGCCTTTAAATGAAAAACTGATCGAAGGTCAATGTGTGTGAACATGTTAGGACCCATGAAGGAGAAAGAGCTGACCCCTGGCACAGTGTTTCCAGTCATGGGTCCTCTGCTCTCCTTTCTACCGGAGCACTACAAAGAGAAGCTCTGCTGCATCACTCCTCTGGCTCTAAAGGTACCCCTCACATGTCCACTCTTTTCCTTCTGTGTGTCTTGTCCGATTAAACTAAGCTTTTTAATGTTGTTTTCTGCTGACCAGCCCAAAGAAATCAGCACGCAGCCTTATCAGATGGCCAAGAAAGACAGCAACGGAGCGGCGTACTGCAAAGAGGACACGGTCACAGAGGAGAAGGAGACGGAGAGCGACAGAGCTCTGACGGAGGAGGAGGACATGGAAACAAGGACCTCTCCGCCCTCTTGCCATCTGACCGCTCACACCGTTCAGGAGACTGCCTTGTGATCCTTTTTTAAATTTTTATTTCTCAGACTTAAAAACATGCACAAGAAACAGAGTTTCCCCCTCGGTTACAGGGGACACGTGCAGCGAAACATCCATCACAAAGTATAATGTCCCGAATGTCTACAGCAACAGATGTGTAGGTATCTGTTTTTTATTAACATTATCAGTGGAATCTGAGTACAGAAAATGGTTATGGACCTCCATATCTAAATGGTGTTTAAATGGTACCTGCGAACAATTTGTCCTCTTAACAAAAAAAAAAGCAAAAGAAACATCTGGAAACGACATTTGCCAGGCTGGAACTGTGCATCGAATGGCTGAATAGCGGCAATCAAAGAAGAAATAACTCCGCTGATCTCTATTTGCATCTCTGGTGACACTTGGGTGAAGATATGTGGCTAGTTTGAATTTAAAGTGGGGAGCTCCGCCACACAACAAGCTGCACCGCTCTGCCTGGGTCCAATCAGGTCGTCAAGAGGTACAACATGTGACGTGATATTTTTGTAGAGAAGACAGAACAATGAAAATGTAGAAGAGAATATAATATAAGAAGAAAAAGAGAGACTGAGCTTCGATGGAAGGCATTACTCGTATAGGCTGCCTGATGGTGTACTTGTCTTTACATGGCCTTGGTTTGATCACCCTCTAATAGTCACCTTCTCGCTGCTACTACACAAGTCTAAATGCTGAGTCACATGTGCTAAGCTATGGGGTCAGACCATGGACTGTATATACAAATTGACAGCGTGCCGCAGCCTCCTCCGGTTGAACAGGATGAAGCCAAAATCCCCCCCGCCCCATGACGGCCGCTGAGTCTGTGCGGTAGGGGATCCGCTGGAGGAGCCTCTATATTATCGTCATGGCGCCTCCACTAACGGAAAGAAAACACAATTGAATTTACCGATAAGACTGCGAAAATTATCCGGATTGGATCATCTTTGTTGATTATTTTTTTTTAACAAGGATCAAGTAATCCAGCTCACCTTTACTCCTGGCTGTTCAAAACCCCCTACGATAATAGTTCATACTGATTTGGCTAAAACGCAGTATGCAAACAAGTGTGAGATCCGAAGTATGCCAAGAATACCCAGATGTCGTACTGATCCAGAAAAAATCTACAATATGCATCAGACCAGTCTCCCTCACGTAGTTTCCCACAATGCAAAGCGCCAAGTCAGAGATGTAAATGACGGACGACAGCAACCACTGATTATCTTTTTTGATTCTCTAAATCATGAAAAGCTAAATGAATCATTAGCAGTTTTTTTTTTTTTTTTTTTTTTACACTCTTAAATTGACGCTACACTGTCGCTGCGTTAGACGTCCGCTCGTCTGTTGTTTACTTTAAGACCAGATACCAGTTTAGCCAGGCCTGGTACTCTGAAGGTTAACCACCGACTGGAGGTCATACAAATACTATCATGAACGTAATGTGCAGGACATACTGTGTTTGAAAACAGCCTGTGTTCTTCAAATAAAAACTGATTCAGATACAGACTTTAAAGGATTACCAAATCCAGATTAAGTGGTCTTCACACTACATACTTTGTCCACAGGGGGCGCCAAATTCACACAGTGAATTTAAAGTAAAGTTTTAAGGACAAATTCCTTCAAACTCTTAATATGAATCTCATCTACAATGTCACTGAAACAAAACACTTCTATTGTATAGAATATTTATATGGAGCGCCCCAGGGCTGTTGGGGGTTTTAGGCCTTGCTCAAGGGCACTTGGGCAGTACTCAGGAAGTTACCTGGCACCTCTTAAGCAAGCAGGCCAGCTTCCATATCAAAGTGATCCTGATCCTACTCAGAAGTTTTGAATAACGCAAGCTGGAGGGTTGATCCAGATCAAAACCAGGATTGGACTTCTTGATCTTATCTGATAACGTAATCCTTTTTTATTTTTTTTTATTTTTTTCTCATTCAACAACCTGATTTCCAGATTCGATCCACCAGTTTCATTGTCTATGTAACAAAACCTTTCTCGGATTTCTATCTCAACTTGAGGTTGACTAATTTTCCGTTGAAATTAAGAAAGATTTTAAAAAAGGCCACTATCCAAGACAAAAATGTTGCAAAGATATAAAGGTAACAACAGCTCGGCAGCGGGGTATCGTCTGTGGAAACTGAGACCATGCTGCTCTTCTCAGGCAGTATACAAAGAATGTTTTAACGTTAAATCTAAGAGTATCGACAGTTTGTAGTTTCTGTATTCAGTTGTAGTGAACTTGTCCTTAGCATTAATGACTCAGGATATAGAAGGCTCTGTTTCCACCTTTCACTTGCTTGCAATGAGGAGAGAGCGTTTGCAGCACCCAGTGACTTTTTCTCTAACCCCTCTGACTTTTCTATGAGGCCGCTCTGAGTGCTTTGAGTTAAATGGTTCTAATTTTCAGAAAGGCGCTGCAGACGTCACAGTGCTCTTTTCAAAATGTAGGATATTCCCTGTAGTTTTGCCTCCTACAGATAATGTCTTGTACCCACATCCTCTTTGCTCCGTGTCTGATCAAATATTTCTCAAATATAAAACATGGAGTAATAAGTAACGGAACTGTGTCAGTCATACAGTGGTCGTTGTCAACTGACTTGTTATGGAGATGGGATGGACGCTCAGCGCTTTTCTTCTCAGCACTCAAACGCTTCATGCAAGCGCTCCCCAGCGCACAGCTAGCTCATTTCTGCCCGGAAAAAATGATATGTGTACACGGGGTCTTTGTCATGTAAAACCACATTAGTGCCTCACTCGCTGAGTGTTCTTCTGATTGGCAGGTATTAAGGCACACAAAAACACAGTTTTGGTTTTCTTTAGTGTTATGTTTTATTCATGTAGCCCAGCCCATCAATATTTAGAGACCACTACTCCACATACTGGTGTACAACAAGCCACCATCTCATATGACTAAACAAACCCCAGCTCTGCTCTGAGCCACACAAAGAAGCCATCTTTGAGATGGACCTACTTATTGATGTGTCAAAAGGTAAAGATGATTCAGCGATTTCTGTTGCGATTGTATTTTAACTTTGAACCTGTTTTGTAAGTGCCCGTCTTTTACTTTAAGGTCACTGTCAGTGCCAGGATGATGTATGTGGTAGTGTTGTTTAAATATTAACGTCATTCTCATAATTTTTTGGAATCAACGAATTCTTGACCTTCAACATTTTAGCATTTTCAAGTCATCCATCGTCATTGTGTCCAAACTGAGATGTGATGTGTGTGTCCTGTGGTTCAAGTCGGTGCTGTCTGTGCTCATAATAACGGCCATGTTTTCGTACTTTATTCATTCAGCATTGTTGACCCTATGAATGACAAACTAGTCCACTATGGTTCCTAAGAGACTTTAACAGCTGTAAGGAGTCCACATGAAGTTATTTATTTCATTATTTAATCGTTAAACAAATGTTTACCGATCTTTCATCACTCGGTGCCCTTGCTTGATTAGCATGCTTTGTCATGTGCCTGAAAACTTTTCAACATCCTGTTCAAATCAAACTGAAACGTTAGAAAACAGACTTAAAGTTCATGCCAGACAATCAAGGTGACCTAGTTAATCTGCAGACAAGAAACAGCTTGGCACGTCTTACTTATTTAAAGGAAGAATGTGCGACTTTGATGAAATTGCTGTTTGGCTTCACCTCTGCCATACTACACACCTCCTCCCCTCGAGATCGCAAGGAGGAGTTTAGTGCAAGCACGGACAAAATTGTTCTCGGCTCGAGCTGCAATCACCTGTGTCCTGCATTGTTGTGTTAGCATGCTAATGTTAGCGCTCTTTAGTTATCTTGTACCTTCATATTGCGCATAAACTGACACAGAATGACATGTGACATCCAAATAATCAGAGAGTATGTTCTTCTTCTTCTCTCTAGTTCTTGACTAAAACAGCTTTTATACACAAGGAGAGGAGCCAGCCGCCCCGTCCATGTAAACACAGCTCTGACAACAACACAGCCAGCGGGACTCAAGCTTCTCACTCATTGTAGACAGTCATGATTCAGAGACACATTTACACAGGATAGACTGGATTTCTGATATATTTATGTGGAACATGTTGCACATTCTTTCTTTAAAAGGATTTTGGTCCTCCGTTGAAAGCCCGTTGAATCATGCCTTAGCACCAGTCCATTACAGAACCGACATGTTTGTACCATCATCCTGATACTCCGAATTACCTCGATTCATCCAAAGCATATAGAAAACAAATGTTTTATTTTGCTTTTAACCAACAGACTATTAGTTTGAGATCATATTTGTATATTTTTGTAATTTCACGTAAAGCCTACTGCCATTTCAAAACCTGAAATGTGGAATTCTATATGCAAGAACCATGAAATGTTTCTTTTGATGTGATTATCGGGTAGAATTGGGAATGTAGCCTTCCGCTCTGAAGACATGAGAGCGTCCCTTGCCTTAGTCAGTGTTTCCTACAGGAAATGTTACTCTAACACATCTCATGTTAAAGTGCTACATCCAATTTGCCAGATTTATAGTCACATTATTCAAAAACATTTTAATGGTTCCCTGACTTTTTTTAAAAACTATAATTAAATCAAATGTGATAATGTGTACTTTATTTATGATCGAGTAGTATTGAATCCTTCGTCTTCATACCTGAAATTACTTGAAGTGTGTGCCTGTAATGTTACCTCAATGACAAACAATTCAACCCCCTTTATAATGTAAGGGAACATCTTAAGTGCTGATATATTATTGCTGTCAAAGATGTTGTTATGAACCCCCACTGAGTGGAGCACTGTGATATTAATGAACACCAACATACTGAATAAAGCACAATGATGGCAGAACTCGATAGTCTTGCTATTAAAGGTCACATATGAAAAATACCCTTAACCAGGTTTTTCTAACACTAGTATGTGTCTCTAGTCTGTAAGTAATACGAATGATAAGAAAAGTTCATCCTCTTCGTCTTTTACCTGCTCCACTTTTCAGGAAATGTGTGCTGTTTGGAGATTTTTCTCTTCATGACATCACAAAGGGTAGTAACCCCTCCCCATGGGGGGTGGACATGGAGCGAGAAATCCAGAGACACAAGCTCATTTACATATTTAAAGGTACAGACACAGAAACAGCCTGTTCTGAGCAGGACTGAAATAGAGAGGTTTATAGACATGATCAGAGTGGATTTAGAACAAGAAACTTCACACACATGTTTTGAGGAGCTCTGACAATTATTTAAACTTGTTGAAAAGGAGGATAAGATGTGACCTTTAAAAGAACCTTACTAAAGCTATCAGTAAAGCAGCTTAGATTCAAATGTTCATGCGTGAACAACTTAATTGATTTAATAACAGAAACTAGAGACTTGATGTCCTCTGTAAGTAAATGCACAACAAAAGCTCATTCTGTTGATTAGTGGCCTTGTAACAGTGATTCAGTTGAGACAGGGAAGAGAAGAGTATGGCACTTGGTAATTTCTGGAAGCAATAAATATTGTGTTGAACAATATTTATTATAAATGTTCTCCCATCCACAAGAATTCTTCCTTTTATGCATTCCAAAAAAGAAAACGTTAGAAATATATAAACAACCCCAAAGCACTGAAGTTAAGCCGACTCCTCTGCTTTGGCTGTGCCTTCATTTCCTTTTTAAACTGTTCTTTCTGTATGTAGTTGTCATAAACAGTCCAGGTGATGCTTCCAATGAGACGTCTGCCCGAGCTTTTTGTCAACAGCGGATCTGTTGACATGTTTCAATGTTGTTTGGATGTATGACTCTTTGACTTCTACGTTTGATGTATTGGAGCTGAGATTAAATGATTAAAATGATAATATGGAGAAATGCAATAACACGTCCACTGTTTACTTTGTTGTAAAGAAAAGGAAAGGAGGGATTGGTTTACCGGCATAACATATATGTGACCTAACATATCTTATAGTCAACCTGGAAGAGCTGAAGCTGATGGTGGCCGTAAGCCTCTTGGCGAACACTTGCAGTGATATCAGTCCCTAATTATGCAAAACACTTCTCCTTTATCAGAAGAGGATGACTTCTGAGAAAGTCTGGCCCCCGCACAGTGTGTGCTGATAAAGACATTAGCTATTCAGACCAAAATCCTTTCTTGTACTAGGCCATATCCATGCTAACGTCTACTCTTAAAAGCAGTCTACAGTGAGTGAGTGGGCCTCTTTTTACATACAAATGACATCACAGGACACACCATACCATGATATAGTGACTACTGACAACAGTGCTTAATTAGTAAAAAAGCTCTTAGTAAAAACAAGATGAAGTAACCCATCTGTAAGCACAAGACAAATAAAAGTTCTTTGAGAGGTCAGAAGTGTAGAAAAAGGCTACGCGAGCTCAAGTCCATTTACATGATGATGGACCAAAAAGGACAAGTTCGGACAAGTTCGGACAAGTGCTGACAAGGTGAGAAATAAAATGAATGTCTGGGCTGATGCTGCAAAATATTACAGATAAACCATGTAACACTCAAGTTGATTCTGCTGGTACCACGAGCATGCTGCATCTTTGTCATCAAAAATCCACAAGACAGTCTGGCAGCAAACCTCCGCTGTGAAGCTCCTCCACGGTCAGGACCGGAAATACACACAACAAATGTCAAAATAAAATCGGGTTGCACCTCTGGTTTAGCGTTTCATTCATTTATAAACTCTTTTACGGTAATGCATCCCATAAACTTCAATATAAAATTGCCTAGTCACTTCTGGTTTAAGCATTTCAGTTAAAATTAAAACTAATTATTCGACATCCTATCTTATTTACACTCCCTATCGATTTATTCAGTAAAAACGAGAGATGAAGAGGAGAGGGAATTAAATGCAGAGACAAATAATGCTAGCTTAACACTCTCTTCACAGAGAAAATGGCATATTTTAATTTGAAACATTGTTGGCAAACATGGGATGCAGGCATAGAAACAAAGCTTCTGTTCAAACAGTACGTCTCATCACTATGTTATGACATCTTAATGTGTCTAACAGGCCTATTTGTAATTTGTAATTTTTGTAATTTATTTCAAGGATAGCCCCTTGAGATGCATCATCTAATTTTCAAGGGGGTCCTTACAAAACATAAATTAATCATCATCAAACAAAATCAAAATGAAAGGTAAATCCAAAACATAATACCAAACATTTAAACACAGAGACACCCACACCACAAACACACACAAAAAAAAGAAAGAAAGGAAAACCTCTGCAATAACATACATGTAAAGGTAGAGGTAGAGCTGTGTACACCCATGCACACATATGCACCATATAAATGCATATACATGTACATGTATATGCATATACACTATACATAGTACATAGTACATACACACATAGTGTACGTAACATCAAGGCACAAGGTACAGAACAGTACATACATGTAGATATGAGGTACACGAGCGCAAGCAAGAGGAGAGCAGGTCCAGACAAACTAAGTCCAACAGAGAAAGAAAATCAAAAGCAAGAGCAGGATGTTTGACAATGAGTAAGTAAAGATGATTTAAAGATATGAAAAGAGGTGATAGATCTAAGTGAGCGAGGTAGGTTATTCCAATCTGATGGAGCTTTAAATTTAAATGCACGGCGACTAATTTCTTTCCTGATTCTTGGTGTAAAGAAAAAGAGATGATCAGTATGCCTTAGACCAGGGGTTCCCAAACTGTCGATCGCGGACTGATTCTCAGTCGATCGCGAGATGTTTAGTCAATATAAAATACAATTGTAAAATAGAAACGTGATTTCAATTTCATCTCATTGCAGTGTTTCCCACACATAGACGATACCTGGGTGGGGAGCCCAAGTATACTTCCGACCTGTGTGTATTTAATTTTTAATTTATTCATGAAATTGCTGCGTGCATGAGAGAGCGCGAGAGAGCGAGCGGGGGGGCGAGAGAGAGAGCGCGTGTGCAAGAGAGAGTGCAGGCATGCGCAAGGACGTGCAGGTAAAACCGGGGTGGTAAATGTTTTACCAAAAAGTCATATATAGAAACTATGCTATGAGTATTAAGCGCATGTGATGTAGCTGCAGCTACTTTTCTCTGCTCCTCTCTGCTGTCATGACTGTGAGCATCACGGGGCACGAGACACACCAACATACAGCGCACACGCATACACACACACACACACACACACACACACACACACA